GTTCTTCGGTCAGCATAATCATTTTCAAGCCGCCTGGGTTCTTCTCCGTCAATTCATCATTTTTTGCACCGGTGCATAATTCAGATTCACCCACCATTACTTCAGATTCTCACAAAAGCTCTGTACATTTCCCCCACCATTTTTAAGAATTGATACGAGCAATCGTGGATGTACAAAGTTTAGGATTTAAAATTCAGAATTAGTTAGGGTTTACATGTGAATGTGATATATATAAACGAAAAACCCATCTAAGTACGTCATATATTAACTAACAGCAAATACATGTGATTAGAAAACAACACATATAAGGAAGAGCTAGATTTCATTCCAAACAATACATACAAGTAAGGCCAGTAATCGTTCCAAATGATCATTGTGATTTATTTTAGTTTAATCATACATTGACAATGACATTAAACGCCATATATATCTAAACCAAAATACAGCCTTCCATCACAGTAACAGCCTTTCCTCGCAGAAACACTCTCTGGTTCTGTTCGTCCAAATGAATGTTTAAGATTCCCCCTCTAGGTGATGCCTAAGCAAAGGTATACGACATAATCAATATAAACAGCCATAATAAGGTAATGACAACTACAATTTCTAAGTGTATGGGAGGGGTGTGTGTGTGAGAGAGAGAGAGAGAGAGGATACCACATAGGCAATGAAGTCGCACTTCCCTAGCTTTTGGCTCCAATATGGTGTTAAGGCGCAATGTCCACTCCCATTAACAGGATCCTGAGAAGTGCGAAGCAACATGATTTTAGACAGTGCCTTTCAAAAAAGACATGATTTTAGACAGCTATTGAGAGAGTGTTCCATTGCTTTATATATATCAAGAAAAATGATCTAGCCCAGCAATGGAGGGTTGAATCAACAGTTCCTCAAGGTAAGGCTCAGATGCCCTTTTCAGTTTAAAACATGCATATGCATTCATTCCCCAATTCCAAACACTGAATTGGAACTTGAATTGATATTTCTTATTTTGTTATTTGTAGTAGCATCAATGTTTCAGTAATGAGAAACTTATAAACAAAATTTCCTTCTTGGGGCCAGATAATATGTCTATTTGATGTGCTCATGCCAACAAAGTTAAAAACTTAAAACACAAGGGTTTTACATCTAAATAAGTTCATTTATCATAGGTGCTTAAAAGATGAGAAAAAAAATTAAAAAATTAGGTATCCGGATGGCTGTGTATTACCTCATTGATACCTAACTTTGGGAAGAAGGCTCGGCTAATGAAATCAAAACCAGACTCAGGAGCTGCAATGCCTGAGACAATTAAGCCATCTCCAGGACATTTTTGTATGGCATCAAACCGTGGCTGTAGTTCCATAACATCTTTTCCAGATGGTAACACAACCTGCAAAAATGCAGCACTCGCTTCCTGACTCTCATGTCAATATAGAAAACTACAAGATAAGTAAATATATGATGCCCCTCCTCACAAAAACACAGTTGTTTTAGGACAACTAACATCCCATGATATCCAAATTGTCATACCACTAATTTAAATCAACTAGTACTCCTTTATTTGGTCAGCAATTAGCACACAAAAACAAAGAA